CACTTCCCTATGAATTAAGTGTACAAACGTCATAAGCAGCCTAAGCTACCCATGGCATTGTGCAAAGCAAGTTGTAATTATCAAGAGTTGGCTTTCTTATTAATCTAAATTATATATCCATTTATATTTGTTAAAAATAAAACTTACAAACCTATAAACCATAGCGTACACAGTTTCATAAGTATCTCCATTGTATTCTTGTTTGTCAAGATTCTATCTACATTCTACACATACACAGTCAATAAGGTTACTTGTATGACGAAGAAATACCAAGATAAGAGAACAGATAAACGTAAACATGTTAAATGATTCATTTCAGCCAGATGACTAAATTTGGACTTTCAAAAAAAAAGTAGATACCAAGGTATTATAAAAAAAAACATAAGATGAAGAAAAATGGACAAAATCATGAAAATTAGAAACATCACGAAACGACGAACAACAATCCATAAAAAATCTATGAATACAAAAGTTCGAGAAACACGGACCACACCATAATCCCGGGGTGTATACGCTGGAAGGTTCAGCAGTTCCTGTTTATTCCACTACATGCGTTAAATTGTTTAAACACGTTTTAAGTATATTGATCTCTAGATGTCTTTTCCTTTGTTTTTGTTAAGTGTTGTTTTTGTTCAGTGTTGTTTTTATTAATTTGTTTTTGTTAAGTGTTGTTTTTGTTAAGTTGTTTTTGTTAAGTGTTGTTTTTGTTAAGTTGTTTTTGTTAAGTGTTGCTTTTGTTAAGTTGTTTTTGTTAAGTGTTGGTGGATTCTGTAATATTGACGTATCTCCCACATCTCCTTTATTTAAAAACACAGAAGGAAAGGCATGATTTAACGCATGATTTAACAACAATCAATGAAAGATACAGATTGCTTGGAGTCTTATTCCCTTAAACTGTAGGTACACATTATCTGATCTATGAACTGAACAAGCAGAAACTATTCGACTTCTATTAGAAATTTATAATTTTATTTTCACATTGTGTTTTGTTAAAATATGGATATAAGTTGTATTTCGTTCATTGTTTCGTACATAAATCAGGCCGTTAGTTTTCTTGTTTTAATTGTTTTACATTTGTCATTTCGGGGCCTTTTATAGCTGACTATGCGGTATGGGTTTTACTCATTGTTGAAGGCCGTACGGTGACCTATAGTTGTTAATTTCTGTGTCATTTGGTCTCTTGTGGAGAGTTGTCTCATTGGCAATCATACCACATCTTTTTATTTTTATATAGACATTGTATCTGGAAGTTTTTATGCTTCATTAATTACATATAACAGGTGAATTGTTTCTTTTTTATGCAATTTCGATAAACAGTTGAAAATGGTTCTTTTCATAACACAATTAGCCCGAGAACACATTTCATTTCGTAGTGCATTTCTTTTAGACAATAAAGTCAAATTAAAAAAATCGCACCTGCTCTATCTCAAAAAGATTTTTACAGTGTAGTGTTCTACTATTGGGACAAATAATATCAAAATTATAGAAAAGTCTACCAGCTCTAACTCAAAATATTGACAATTCTATGTTAAGGGGGTCTAAAATTCAGTTTGACAGCTTCGGACATACTAGTTTTTTACATTTTTTAACTGGACCAAATCACTACTTAACATAAAGATTCAGCAACCTAATTTTTTAAACATATAATTCCATCCCCTTACTTAATATTTCATACATAAAATATAAAGAAATAAATTTGGAATGTGTATGAAACAAAATTGCAAGTTATACACTGTCCACACTAGGGACTCTATTAGTAGACAACGAAACCAGATATAATAAGAGGGGTATTAGTACATGTTTAATCACATCTTCAGAACTCTCATATAATTCTCAAAACCGGGAAGCACATTCTAATGATATCTCATTTATAAAAATATAATTGTGGTATGATTGTCAATAAAACAACTATCACCAGAGACATGACGTAGATGTAAGCAATTATAGGTCATCGTACGGCCTGCAACAATGAGCAAACCCCATACATAGCAAGTTATAAAAGTCTCCGACATGACAAAATGCAATTCTATTCAAACGTGAAAACCAACGGCCTCAGTTATGTGCAAAACAATAAACGACAAACAGATATGATAGACACCAAGGAGCGACAACTACTGAATTACAGGCTCCTGACTTGGGACAGGCAAGTATAAAAATGTTGCGGGGTTAAACATCTTTGCGATTGTTCAATCCTTCCTTTACCTAAGACACTGGTTTGACAGTACAACATAAACACAAGTAATCAAAGTACTGAAGTACTGAACATCGGATGACCGCAGGTTCTTGTGGATGGTCAAAAGCACATGTCACAGAAATAGATCACATCTCTATACCTGAAACTGAGGTTAATTTACAGAGATATATTTTTTTCTGATACAAGTTCGTGCATGGATGATGAATAAATGACAGGAAATTCAACCGCACCGTAATAACTATTATATTGTAGTGATACAAATCAGTATACCTGGGACTATTATACTAATATAATTATAGTCCCAGAGTATACTCTGGTTTGTTGTTATATATTATATTAATATTACGGTTGCATGTATATATAATTTTCATCTATTTGTATATCATTCTATTCTACTATTCTAATTATAGTGCAGTGCAAGTGCATGGTGGACACTCCTCTGTAAAAAAATCGATTTTTCTAAAAGATTGGATATGAGAAGCCATTCATATTGTCCCGCAAAACAATAACAGAGTTATCGGTCCTTGCCGGGAGTGTCGCAAAACGTTCTTGAGATATTCTTCCGTAAGCTTTAACACAATTTTTCGGTACGTGTGCATAGATATCATCAATGATTTTTTACTTTTATATATATAACTAACGACAACACATTTTCATATTATTAATTTGTGTTTTAATAAAAATATTTATAGGAGTATCCATTGAAAAAATGAATTTGAAACAAGCGATATGTAATGTTCTTTTGCACTAGATAATGACCGCGGATCTATAATTTCTATAGATCGGTTGAAAACCCAAAACTAATTTGCATAATGGAAATTTAGGCGATAGCAATACATCGAAATGACCTCACGGTCATCGCGATGTAAAAACTGTAAAAAATAAAAGGGAGTAACTCATCAGATTGACACAGCACAAAAATAACTAACAAAAAGATTACAGACATAAAGTACGGTCTACCGATCTAAGACAGTAACTAATTCAAATGCAATTACAAATAATAAATAAATCACTTTTCTCCTTATTAAAGTACACATCCAATGGATCTAGTGTAAAGACGTTATAACAGTCTGAAAAAACTTCATTTCAAGTGAGCCCGATGAAGGTTAATCATAAAAGTGCCTTAATTTATAAGCAGTAAAGTAAGAACCTTCGACTTTCAAAATTATGAAATATGAAGAGGTCTGAATTCCGAAGAAAAGCCTTCTGTCGGAAATTATTGTTATTTGTAAACTCCATTATTTATAACCTCTAAGACTTAATGCTTTATTTTAGTCCAATTCAAATTATTACAGATTTAACACAACATAACAAATCTATTTTAGTGTATATATTTTGGTGTGTTTCGTATTCTTTTAGGTCATGATTGTGTGATTGTTGTTTCTTTAATACTGGATAATAAAATCAGATCTTTGTATGTTCTCCCATACCTTAATTAATTTATAATTCAATGTTTGAAATATAAATGCAAACATATTTGATACGATGTTTCGATTGCAAAATAGAACAATGTACGCATTGTGTCATCAGATTCAAAACACAGAAGTCTTTGGTCGCCTTCGGTAGCTTGAATTTGGAATATGATCCGATTCATGGAGCTTTCTATACAGGTACGAGTGATATTTGTGTAAATGTAAGCTTGCAGCAGTTGGAGCAGGTGTGTGCGATAATCTATCTGTTGTTTCGTCGATTTGGTCTCTTGTTGCTAATTTCCATGTTCCCGGATAATGTTTTCGAAGTGACGGGTATTCATGTTTCATATAAGGCTGATTTCTAAATTCCTCCACTTCAAATTTATTTCGTTCTTCGTACAATTTCCGGTCACGTGCCCATATGACGGAATGACGAGCACTTGAAACAGTCGGTCTACGAACTGAGGTATCCAGACCAATGAATGTCATTTCACTTATAGGTTTACCAAAAACGTGTTTCCGTATGTCTTCTTCGTTTACTTCCGGCTGCAAAATATAAAAAAGATTTAAAAATATGTGGGATAGAATAAATAATAATACTAGTATAAGCCCCTCCCCTAAGCATCGATGTTGATGCATATAAGGCAATCGGTCAATACATATAGTATAGGGAATATTGTCGCAGTGCAACTTGCAGCAAGCTTTGGATTGTACTCGGGGTCGTGAAAATCCATGAAAATTACCAGCATTTTTTTCTATATCTTTCCTATTTGAGTCAAATGTCTCTTAAGAGCTCATGGTAAAAAAAACTCCAGCATCCTTTCTCCTAGTAATATATGTTTTATCATTTTGAATTGTGCATATATTTTTTTTTAATATGACATGAAACTGAAAATCAACTGAAAAATAAATGCAAATTTAAAGATATGAAAGGCAATATACTGGCCTTAAAAAATCATCTCTGATTTTTAACGATTTATCCTCATTTATGATTTATTTCAGTTGTGAAAAAAAACTTACAAACATATTATTAGCAACTGCCGTAAATAATTTAAAGCTTATCGAAAGATGATTAGGGTTGTGTCCAGTCATGAAATATTCAAAGTTGTTCCATCAGAATTAATTACAATACTGTATCATTGAAATACGTGATGAATGGATGATATGTTTTTCATGATGTATATTTAAATTTTTAATGAAAACATACCAAATCAGAATCTTTTATTTCTGCTTCAAGTACTGGATTCGGGAACTGGTATTTGATTGACTGTCTTCTAAACTGGTCGTATGAATCTCGTCTATCGTGCTGGATACTATATGACCTTGAACCTCGTCGTCGGTCAAGGACAATATCACCTCCAAAGGATACAGTTGCTGGTCTTTGTATTGCAGATGCCGCCATTGTAAAAATAATACTTAACTTGTATGCTAAGATTGTTCTGCAAAATAATAAGAATACTGCAATTGTTTGCACCTGTCTTACGTCAGGAATCTGATGTACAGTAGTTGGTGTGGTTCATAAGTGTTTCTCGTTTCTCTTTTTTATATAGATTAGACCGTTGGTTTTCCCGTTTGAATGGTTTTACACTAGTAATTTTTGGGGCCCTTTATAGCTTACTGTTCGGTGTGAGCCAAGGCTCCGTGTTGAAGACCGTACTTTGACCTATAATGGTTTACTTTTATAAATTTTGACTTGGATGGAGAGTTGTCTGATTGGCACTCATACCACATCTTCTTATATCTATTGAGTTTTTCCGTGGAGATGAATCATGTTCAGAAGTTTTTTTTAATGAGATTATTTGATTGGTTATTGCATAATTTTTGTGGCAAAACATATTTTAGAGAAAAAAAAACAGGTTGGATTCGATGAATGCTTTATACAAAACTTTTTCCTAAATTCAACGATTTTTTTTACAGTTTTCTATTTGATAAATTACATATTTACCGATTAAAGCTAAGTTTGAATATTAAATAGATTTTATAATAAATTGTGCTTAATTTAGTAAAAATCACAATGTATTTTTGACCGTACAAGAAGTAAATATAGAGGAGTTTGAATTTAACTTTTTTGAATAAATTTGCACTGTAAATGATTTACGAAATACTGAACATTTATAACAAAAACTTACCGACGTCTCTTGAAACTAAGACAAATTGAATATAATGGTTCACACTTCTTCACTTAATTAGTAATTATATTGCGATGGTCCTAGTCTTCCTATAAATAATGAAGTGGAACAATGAACGATTTTATCTTTAAAATGTTGAAATAAAGCACCAAATTGTTAAAGATTTACATAATTAGATATAAATTATCTAGTGCTTAATCATATTAAATGTTTACTGTAAATATGCATACTCATATGAAAAAGATCGTCACTGATGAAACATTTAATAAAAATAAATCATTCACAATTGAGTGCCAAAACGGCGTGATTTAGACTAATATGTCTGTCCTTGTTGACAATGTACTTTGATTATAGAATAATTAAGTCACTTGGTTAATCAAATCTATTGATAAATCTATCTCCCCCCACAATCACACGCCTATACACACACCATCACCCACCCCTCCCCTTTCCCCACAAAAAAAACATTATGAAGGTAGGTCAAAGAGATCGTTGATTTTTTTCTATTTTATTTATTCACAACTTTAGAGACTCGGTAGTTTTGGAGTTTAACTTATTGCTAGGACGCCTGTATATTCTTAAATAAAATTGAGAATGGAAACGGGGAATGTGTCAAAGAGACAACAACCCGACCAAAGAGCAGAAAACAGCCCAAGGCCATCAATGGGTCTTCAACACAGCGAGAAAATCCCGCACCCGGAGGCGGGCTTCAGTTGGCCCCTAAACAAAAATGTGTACTAGTTCATATAAAATGGACGTCACACTAAACTCCGAAACATATAAATGAACCGAAATTAAAAAAAAACATACAAGACTAACAATGGCCAGAGGTTCCTGACTTCGGACAGGCGCAAAAATGCGGCGGGGTTAAACATGTTATGTGATATCTCAACCCTCCCCCTATACCTCTAGCCTGTATGTTCCCGTCTAGGTGGCTTTTACTTGTTTTTGTCGTTGGGCTGCTGTCTCATTGACGTATACCCCACTTTTCCTTTTATTCATTTAATTGACCCATTGAATAACAAATAAGAAACAAAGTGTCCTACAAGTTATTTTAGTCAAGATACATTATGGATAATACAACAACCTCCCTACAAAAATAATTCAACTTGACCTATATGTGTTGCCAATAGACTTTAGTTAAGTTTTATGTTTTTATGGCTTACGGTTTTAGTATATCTTAAAACCATTATTAAACGTATAGGAATGTATCTACGGTAGTATAGAAAGCTTAACAGATAAGTAAAAGAGAGAGCTAAGCTCTGACGATCCTATAGCTAAGTGTTTTGTTTTATGTAAATAAGATAGCATAACAACCTACTAAATTTATAGTTCACTCTTCAACTTTCTTCATTGACTCTGGTATAAACTAGCATATTATATAACAGCATCATAAATCCCGTCAAATACAGATCTATATGTTATACTAAGGTAAATTTACTCCCAATTCAAGTTTGATTATTGAATTATTATATAAGAAGAAAGAAACGATTTGGGGACCAGAAGAATTTTGTAATCGTAATTTACCCATGTCTGATATGTTTAAATATTTAGACAATGAAAAATGCTAGTAACATATCCCATGCAAGTCATCAAGTTGCAGACTCAGACTTCGATTGAGAGCATTTTATATCGATGTCTGGCTATGTACACTTAACTACCTCGATGACTTGCACCGTTACATTTGGCACATGTTAAAATGTTGATCGTCTTTAGTTCTATTTATACAGGGAGTGTAAACAGCATGCATATTATCTGATCGTAGATGTATCGGAGTGTGCAATCTTAAAGGACGCCGTGCCAACAGACAGTTGATATGTCCGATAAATATAGAGGGCGTGTAAACATAAATACTTTTTATATGTTAGGATGGGAAAAACAAAAATATAGTAATTTTGTAAAAAAAATATTAGATAAATATTTTGCTTGTAATTGCGTATTTCTTATCTTACGCCATTAGTATAGAGTTAAGAGCTTTTCCTATACGGATTTTAATGGTGTGTTCTTTTATGTACAGTACTATTTGTCATTCAAAGGATTTAGATTAAAAAGGGGAAGATTTTTAAATCCCGAAGAATTAAATTAATCACACCACATGTTCATGAATTTGTGTGTCTTTCTTATGCAAGAATCTCTTCAGTGGTTACCATGGTTACCTTTTTTATATCTTAGTGTTCTTGACTTTTTTGAGAATTTAGCGTTGGTGTCGAATCAAGAAGTAACTTAATATTCATATTTGTTTTAGACATGCGAATTTAGAGCGTGGCATATTGTAAAAGGGCCAGTAATTTCTACAGATATGTTTCAATATGACTATTTGAGTATGAGTTATTTCCCTTGGCCGCCATTTCGTAGGAGTAAATTATTGATTTTCTTATTTGACTAACCAAATTGAAGCAATTCTGATAAAAGATCGTAGTGATGAATCAAGCAAGGCTAAAAGAAATTAAAATTGTTCAGAAAACAACTTTTTCGAAAATCTAGCAATCAGTATAACAAGTTAATTTTGGCTGATTTATGAAGGAGTTTGTGAACTAATACTTCCAACATGGCGACACAAGTTAAGTAGCTCTTGCTCAAATTGTGTCGATCGAAACCTATCTATTGTTGAGGACCGTTTGTTGATCCTCCTGATTGTCCTTGTTGGCTATTTGTTTTGTTGGTTGTTGTTGGGTTGTTGTCTCAGTGACGTATAAATCACATCTCATTTAGTTATTTCTTAAAACACTATATAAAAATAAGGAGATGTGGTATGATTGCCAATGAGACTACTATTAACCAAAGTTCAAATGAAGCAATTATAGCCAAAAGTACAGCCTTCAACAATGAGAAAAATCTGTACCGTATAGTCGGCTATAAAAAGCTCCGACATGAAAAATATGAAACAATTCATTTGAGAAAACTAATGGCCTAATTCATAACAAAACAATTGGCGAAAACAAATATGACAGACATAAACCAACGACAACCTCTGAACTACAGGCTCCTGACTTAGGACAGGCACGGAAATAATGTGGCGGGGTAAAACATGTTTGAAGGCGCCAACCCTCCCCTTCACCTGGGATAGTGGTATAACAGTACAACATAAGAACAAATAATAAAAATCAGTAAAAAAGTGCTTTTCTCATCAGATCGATACAAAGCAGAAAGAAATCTAACAAAGACACAGACCGGACGCGGTAGGGTATTTATACATCCCTTACAGCAACAAAAATAAAACACAAAGTATATATTCATATCAAATTATTTTCAGTGTCTTTAGACATTATTCATGCCTTTAAGATAAGTATAAAGGCAGCCGCACACAGTTGTCTATGATCACTGATGATCATTTGCTATGAATTGGTTAACCAGTTTTAGTTATTGTTTAAGAACAATATCTGTCTGAATGATTAAAATGTCGCCATAATCAATCTACAAGTGAAATGCTGCATGTTATTGCCTTAAAAGGGGAATTGTGCCTTTATTTTTTAATGTATTTCTACGCAGAGGTAAAAGAGGTCTCCCACCATAAGCATATTTGAATTTACATCTAGATTGTTTTATATAACTTGCAGGAATATAAAATTGAACGATTTGTACAAATATCTAGTATTAAAAATTTGACATCAATACTTGAATTTTCTCCCATAAATTACAGTTCATTTCAAAAAAGTAAAGAAAGAAAGATACTATAGAGACCAAGCATACAATGGAAACAATGAAAAAAATGATTACTCAAATACTTCTATACTCACTCACCGTTAATCTTTTCTAAAAGTAAGAGTATTTTTTTCTTCAAATTGTACCTTTAAAATTTAGTATGCGTGAATGGTTTATATCACTCTTCCTGACATTTGACGTGTTAATGAATACAGGTCTAAATTGTTAATTGGATAATTAGCTCATCCTCAGTATGGCAATCAAAAACGAATAACACTTCTATTTTTTGCAGACGATCATTGTACACGGGGGTCTTAACATGGATCTTGTGTACAGACGTGCGGCTGGGATTTCAAAAACACCCCTATTCGGTTTTCAGCATTTTTGTTTCAAAATTTTGTGTACAAAAAAAAAACATAGAATTTACTGGTAATTTTATCATAATATAGATGAAGAAAAGTTCAGAGAATTACAAATAATTTTACAATAACATCTGACTGATGAATTTACGCAGTACAATCGGAAACATAAAAAAAAATATTTCCATTATGCATTGCCCAGCGTAGATCAGCGTAGCCCTTTAATTAAGCAGTACATCCTGTTTAGTATTTTCATATCTATTCCTTTCTGATTGAGGATAATTGATATATATACGTCAATTGATAGTACATTTTGACGATCCTTCATTAAAAAAATAGGCACGTAAACACTGAGACTACTATATAATAATACTATTCTTTGAGCTAGGCATCGACCATTCATCTTTTGATCCTTAAACCTTCACTCTCCCCGGCCACACAAACACATATACATGTACACACACAGTCGATGCCTAAAGAAGCCAGAAGTTCGGTTCTGTTCATACTATCTAACAAAATTCAAGACTGAATTCATTTTTTCTGATATCCTGTACTGTAAAATTCCTACCTAAGGAATTTGAATAATTATGGTCATTACACATTGATCTGGAGAGTACTCGAAGTTACTTAAAGCTAGCTAATTGATTAATTGATTGCTAAACGTCCAGTGGCAAATTGTTTGTGCATTTGAAGGACAAAAAAAAATTTATAATTAATACAACAGGTATGTCCTGTAATAGGGGTCGTCCAGGATGAAGGTCTGGAAATTTGGAAATGCCATTGGAAAATTAGGGTTTATTGGATAGGGACAGAAATTTTGCCTTTCAGCAGACAACCTACAGACCCTCAATGAGATGTTGCAAGTGTTCTTAACGTACAGAGAGCGTGGCATTCTCTCTACACTAGGCATCGGATTTAACATCCCCATTCTGTCCAGACGTGACTGCGTATTTATACATCCCGCACAACCAAACGGACGCCCCACTTGCCATGGGTTTTATCGTAGGTCGGATGAAGACCAAGTTGAAAGCTAGTTGAAAGCCAACAACAACTAATAAAAAAATCATGCATCTAAGAATAAAATGTCAGGGTTTTGAGCATGTTGAGGTTCATTCATGAATTTGTTGATAGAAGTGAAATGATCTGAACCAAAGTTCTAATATAATGTACATACAATTCTACCCAATACTCCATTGAATAAGGATGATAGACTAGTATACAAATGACATTTGATCAGTAAAGAGGTTTGACGACTTCGCGTGCATCTACTTGTCATTAATTTTTTTTAATAAAGAAAAATATTTGTGAAAAAATTATGTGTAGGCACGTGCCTAAAGTGCCTAACGGCAGCTACGCCCCTTATTTAATATAATAATAATAATAACTACCCATTGACATTTTACATGTACCTTGGTGAAATTGAAACCCATTGACATATTTGACATATAAAAAAGGGACCCATTCCAGCGGTACGTCTGTGTATACATTTATACAGGAAAAGCCCCCCCCCCCCCCCCAATTATTTAATTATGTGTTTTTATCAGTTGAAAACTAAACGATTGCCATATAAATTATTTGATGCAGATGAAATGTAACACTGTCCCTGTCCAGTAATTAAAATTTCATAACATTGATTTTTTTATAAATATTTGGCGATATGAGTTCGCCTCTCTCTCTCTCTCTCTCTCTCTCTCTCTCTCTCTCTCTTTCTCTCTCTCTCTCTCTCTCTCTCTCTCTCTCTCATTCTTTATGTATCTGAAGCATTGATTCGATACCATATTGTTACTCTAAAGTAAAATGTTTACTCCTCCGAGGCACCAAGTTATTTGTATTTTGTATTGCCGTAATATTTAGGGCTTTGTGAGTTTTCAAGGTGATGATGAGGTAATACCTTGCCGGTGAAAACGGCAGAATGAGACGACGACGTAATCGTTGATAACTATAGGAAGCCTCGTCAGAAACAACATAGTGGGATAGTAAGATAAGAGGTGGAAGATTTCGATGGCACAATCAAAATTCATCAGTCGGAGAGAAACCGACAAAAACATGGCAATAACACGACAAAAAGACAAACAACAGATACAAAAAACATTAGTTCATAGAAACTAAAGGCTGAGTGAGCAACACGGACCATCACGAGTTATGACAATAAAATGGGGTCCCATTTGATATGCAATTCTACTAATACAGGGTCTTCGGGCGTCTTCAGATACATACATGCATGCAGACGCTGGTCAACAATAGGCAACTGGTTTACTTTACGGCGTTGAATTAATTTCAGTGGTCATAGACAAATACGCAGTATACTCATAACTAAAACGAAAAAATATGTTGGCAGGCGAATAATCAACAGCTGATCTGGCACGTCTGACCAGATGAAATGACTAGGACTTGATGACCCGAATGATTATGCATGTTTTCATTGTTCGTTTTCTGTCATGTTTTCAATTGTCACTGTTATTTTGATTGGTCGTGTTATGATGTCCTCTGGATTTTAATTTTCTTACGACCCTTTTTTTATCATAGTTTGGTAATTTTAATTGTGTTATAGTGCTTGGCAATACCATCATTATGGTCTAGAATATTTGTTCCCCAATAGAAATTGAAGATAAAATAATCATTCGTGTGAAATTAACAATATCTAGAACCTTGTAAAAGCTTTTAACAATGATTTTTTTT